ACGTCTGCTGTCAGCAAGTTGACTGTCATCTAGGAAGGCCACACCCAAAGGCAGAGTAAGAGAAGGGGACACACAAAAGGTGTTTCCATGGAACATTCTCTCCTAAACAGGGCAAAGGGTAATATTACAAAGGAACAGGTGAGCAGCGCTCCATCCATGAGGCTGTAGGAAGGCACACCTATGCAGGAAGACTCAGTCCCTTGCATCCTAAAAATTGGGCCTATCATCTGGGCTACCTAGGCAACCAGACCACAGAGTGACCAACGATGATGCCCCACCAATCAGCAGGGGAGACAGATGCGGTCACGTGCTCGTTGGCCTCTCAAAAGAGATCGTGATGAGCTGGAGTCATCTGTGCAGCTTCATGTGGTGGAGGTGTCTTCCACTGGTCCTTGAAGGACAGGGATGATGGCAGCAGGCAGGATGGATTTACAGGTGTGGAGCACAGGTGGCCTCAGCCTGCTGTCCTTCTGGGGCAAAGAGGAGAACTGCTATTTCCCCACAGAATTTGTGCTGGGTGGCTCTGATGGGTGCATTACAGAGCACTACACTAGACTGAGAGAAAAATCATACAAACAGATTGCCAAGGAAGTATTCTGTCCCAATTTAGATCACCTTTGGCCCTTCTCGGTCTTCTACCAACTACTAAACCATATGTAAATTTCATACCCATACTGGCTGTTCTGGACAGGCCAGGGTCAAGTGGAAATGGCTCTCTCTTCCTCTAAGACTGCTCAGTATCCACAACAGCTATGGGCTAGCTATGGTTTGCAAAACACACACACACACATACACACAAACTTGAGTGTGTCTGTCAGGGGTTGGGGGTTGAAATATAATCCCCAATGTGAGGTATTAAGAGGGTGGAAACTTAATCAGACTTTAGTATTTAGAGGTGGAGCTTTTTGGAGGTAATTAAGATAAGGTCATCCAAGTGGAGCCTCCATGATTGAATATTGTTGGCTTTCTGAGAAGAGGGATAGAGACCAGACAATACACACATGACACTCATGAATAGCCTGTCTCATATCATGTAATGCTTTTCACTGTATCAGGACTCTACTAGCAAGAAGACCACCACCAAATGGGTCTGAGTTAAATAAACATCTTTTTTTTTATAAAGTTACCTGGGTTCAGTTATTTGATTATAGTAATGCAAAACAGACTAATACAACACCTTTAATAGAAACCTTCACCAACTGAAATTTTCAGAGGAGTTAAACCATCTCCTTTAGCCTGTACTTGTTACAGCTGCTGATTACACCCAGGTCTGCTGCCCCATGGGCTACTGTCCCATGGGCTGCTTGAGCCCAGGAATGAGCAAACACAAGCTAGCCATTTGTTAAGGGAGGAACAGTGAATACATCCATGCTTCTTGTTAGGTTAACATCTAAGTATCAGGAATATAGTTATCAGTTCCTTAGATTAGTTCTTAATTCCTTTCCTGCCTTCGCTTTCTTGATCCTTCCTCCCCCCTTATTCTCACCAGGGCCAAGTTCAAGTATTGTTTGTTCTTATGAATTGTAAAAGAACAATAGTTCCTGCCTCTCCATTTAAAGACACCTCAAGGGGTTTTTTCATGAGCAAATGTGTCAGTTTAGGTAGGAGCAGGCTAAGATGAATCAGGAATATCTTATCTTTGGAATGAATCTGACTTGCTGAATTTT